GTGGGGGGGGGGGAGAAGAGCTCTGAAACTCAAGTGTTTCCATACTGAAAGAATGGCAGTTTTCCAGGAAAGTGTTTCACTGGCCCCTAACCCAGGCTTTCTCCTATTGAGTTTACTCCTAAAGACAAAAATCTATTCTGCCTCCATTAAGTCAAACTCATTGGAAAAAGATCAGAGTCTAGCTACTGTATTTAAAGTTCCAAGATACAGAGGCAGCCTAGGGATACAGCAGCACTGATTTTTCCATCCTAGAGTTTTCTGACCCAGAATAATTGAGATGGAATTCATCTTAAATTGTAAGGTAGAACATGCAATTTTCAAGGGTGGGTTAATTTTGTTTTAAACTTCTCCCAAATGTGATCCTTAAAACCTACTTATAATGTAAGCTGAATACTGCTCTAAACTGTGAATGGAGTCATAAAGGACAAAAATTGCTATTCCCATTAAAAACTAAATGTTATTGACCAGACAGCTTCATGAGAACAAATCCTCCTCAACACTCCCATTTTCTTTCTCCCCTTTCCTTCTCCTCCCTCTCCCTCATTATGATGCCTCAGTTCTACCAGTTAATAAGATATAAAATTTGATAGCATGGAAAATTATCTCCAACACTGTATTTACTCTTCTTGCTCCTTCCCCATCCACTAACCATACATAATTTGCAATACAGGTCAGTCCTGGTTTAGTTAGCTTCTAAAACAAGTCTAAAACAGTCCAAATTATAAGAAGCTTCCATCTTCCAAAAAGAAGGAGGCTAAGGTATTTTAAGTTCTATTTGACAGGATTACTTGGTGCTCTAGGGAACATGATATAGAGAAAAGGACACTGCATTTTGTTTCAAGAAACCTAGGTTCCACAAGCTGTGGTATTGATTGTGATGGAATATTATAGCGCTATAAGAAATGACAAGCAAGATGATTTCTGAAAAAACTGGAAAGACTTACATGAACTTATGCAAAGTAAAGTAAGCAGAACCAGGAGAAAAGTGTATACAGTAATAACAATACTGTATGATGAAGAACTGTGAATGACTCAGCTATTCTCAATATACAATGGTCCAAAACAATCCCAAAGGACTCATGATGAAGCATGCTATCCACCTCCAGAAAAAGAACTGATAGTCTCAATATAGACTGAAGCATGTTGTTTTTTACTTTCTTTCTTTCATTCTTTTTTCTCTTCAAGTCTTCTTGTACAAAATGACTAATATGGAAATGTTTTACATGACTGCACATGTATAACCTATATCGTATTGCTTGAGGGATGAGGAGAAGGAAAGATAGAATCTGGAATTCAAAACTTTTAAAAAAAGATGAATGTTTAAAATTGTTTTAACATATAATGGGGGGAGGATAAAATATTATTAATTTTTTTAAAAGAAAAAAAGAAACCTAGATTCTAGTCCCAGCTCTTCTACTTACTAGCTGTGTGACCTTGGATAAATTAAATTCTCTAGCCCTCAATTTCATCTGTGGAATGAGGCAGTTAGACTAAAACATCTGTGGTTCTTAAAATGTGAACCACAAACCCGTGGGGAGTCCCCAAGACCTTTTCAGGGGTCCACAAGGTCAAAACTATTTTATAATAGTTTTAGGTGGCTTTGATTTCTAACACTGTAAATATGGATAGATATTACCCAAATAAACAAAAGCTCTTTGAGAGGATCTTCAGTCATTTTTAAGAGTGTAATGGGATCCTGAAACCAAATGCAAACAACTGTTCTACTAGAAATTTTCTAAGGTTCTTTCCAAACCTAAAACTGTTTCATTTTTTCTGAGTATTTAATGCTACCCCCTCCCTCTCCACTCATAGGATTAGATGGAAATTGTCTAACTTTTTACTACAGTTATATTAAAAAGACACAATGTCCAACAGAAAAGGAAAAGAGCAGCCGTAAACAGTCTAAAGTTTGACATTCAATTATTAACTAGGCTCAGATTCTTATAATCTAGCCACTGCTCAGATTCTTACAATCTAGCCAATAGCTCACTAAATGTTCAGACACCTTAAGAGTCTGGCCATTATGGTGGATATTCTAATAAACCTTGTCTTTGGCTGAAAAAAAAATTTCACAAAGGCAGGTAGGTGGCACAGCAGACAGAGTGATGAAACTGGAGTTAGGAAGACGAGAGCTCAAATCTAGCCTCAGACAGGAGCAGCTAGGTGGCACAGTGAAGAGAGCACCGGCCCTGAAGTCAGGAGGACCTGAGTTCAAATCCGGCCTCAGACCAAACACTTGACACTTACTAGCTGTGTGACCCTGGGCAGTTCACTTAACCCCAATTGCCTAAAAAGAAAAAAAATAAAATAAAATAAAAATCTAGCCTCAGACATATATTAACTACACGAACCTCAGCAAGTCATTTAGCCTCTCTCTGTCTCAGAAATAAAATAGGAATAAATAAATAAAATCTGGATGTGTAAAATAAAAATAAAATAGGGATACCAATAGACTCTACCTCCCCAGGGTTGTTGTGAGGATAAAATAAGATTATGTTTGTAAAGCTCTTTGCATGCCTTAAAACACTATATAAATACTAGCTGTGATGATGATGATGCCTTTTATGTTAACATTATAGTCTTATCTGGAGATTACGTCTTCCCTTGTAAAGAAAAAAGCAGGTAAAGCAATTTTTAGCTACACTTTACAGTTCAAGGTCAAAGAGATAGGAAAGAATTCCCTCCAAAGCAACTATATGAAATTGTCCTATTTCAAAATCCTGCACGACTTCTTTCTAAGCCACACAGCCCACTGCCTAGCACACAGTAGGCACTTATTCAAAGGCTGGTGGTTTTACTGACTAAACAAAGGAGATTGTAAACTTCTGGCCAGAGATTGATTTAACTATCTTTGCATTCCCCTCTGTGCTTGCATTTGGTTATTTGAATGGAACCCTAATTAAGCATACAACAGAGGTTGAATGATTACAATTAGGGCAATCATTGTCAGACTGAAGAAGAAGAAGACATAGTATCTCTTTCCCTTTATATTCTCAGGACAAAAGACCAGTTACAAAGTGACCGTGTTTCTGAAACTTCTATCATCACAATTCAGAGGAAGAATTAAAAACTGCAACATGGGACAACTTGAACAAAGCAGCTGAACGATCAGGAATGATCCCTGAAGGAGATGAGATTTCAGAAGAGATTTCAATGTGGTAAAGAAAGTAATTTGGCAGACATACTGGAAGTCAGAAAGACTTGTGCGTGGTAGAAAGCCTGGATGGAAGCGAACAAGTGTGAGAACCTATGAAGCCTCGTTTAACTAGACTAAACAGCAGCTGGGAAGCCTAGAATGGGGGCACTCACAGAATACGACTGGGAAAGGGACTTGAAGCCAGGCTGAACGGCTTAAATTTGCCACAAAGTCCAATGGCGCCACTGACAATTTCGATCAAAGTGAGAGCCAGGTGGAAGTCTGCCCTCCATAAGCTGAGTAATTAATTCAAAGATGTTTATAAGATGCACCAACAACAACCATTATACATTCCCAGAAATTTGAAACACGAACTCCGAGTTAACCTTCTGTAATTTCACACACGATAAAGAAGAAGCAAGACTGAATATCTGTTTTCTGAATAACACTTGAAAGGAAGAATTCATTTAAAGGGTTGGTTGGTTGTTTTCAAAAAACTTTAAATTGCTATTCCTTTACATATTAAAAAATGTCAATATTAAGAATGTCAATTGGGGGTTTCAAATTCATAACGAAACAAGTTCTCAGAAATACTTGAGGAAAGCCACTACCCTGCCTGGAACAGTACTGTTATTAAAATTATAAAATGTAAAAACTGGAAGAAACCTTGGAGATTATCTAGTCCAATCAGAATCAGGCAGCTAATGTAGTAGAGTAGTGGATACAGCATAGGACTTAAGAGTAAGAAAGAGTTCAGACACTGACTCAGACACTTACTATCTCTGTGACCCTGGACAAGTCACTTAACTGCTTTCAGCCTCAGTTTTCCCATCTGTAAAATGGGAATAACCATAGCATCCACCTCCCAGAACTGTTACGAGGGTTAAAGGAAAAAACATATGTAAAATGCCTTGCAAACCTTAGGGCATTATATAAATTCTAGCTATGATTATTAGTATTACTAATTATTATTTCTAGATTAGGAAACTGGAAGTCCAGGGAAGTTAAAAAAAAAAATTTCCCATAATCACACAACTACCTATTGGTCAAGTCTGAGCCGAGAAACTAATCTAAAACTATTCTTCCTTCCAGTTTCTATGGGTTTTTCAAAGTTTATTTTTTTTTTCAGAAATTCTTAGTTTCCAAATGAAGGTCAAGCCTCAAAACAACAGACTCTGAAGGGCTTTCAGGTTCTTTTGTTATAGTGGAATTCTGATGCATCAAATGTTATTTGACGTAAGTGCGGACACCAGCTGAGGCTCAGAAGTCTTCTTGTTATGTAATGCTTTCAATGGATGTCAGAGTGGGATTTCTTCTATCCCAAAAGAAACCAGTGAAGAGTACAGAAGATGAAGACTGACTAAAACCCCATGGGTTAGATCTCATCTCTGTAACTTATATTATAAAGTCAGGAAGACAAAGACTGGGAATTCTTCTGTAGACCGAACATAGAACACAGTTTGCAAAGAAAAAAGGGAAGGCAAACTTTTTCTCTTGTTAAATAGTTCAATCTTTGAGAGAGGGAGGGAGATAGAAGAGAGGAAGTGAGGAAGGAAAGAAGTGAGGGAGGGAAAAAAAGGAAAAAAGAGAAAGAGAAGGCAAGAAGGGAAGGAATGGAAACAGAGAGGAAGGAAGGAAGGAAGGAAGGAAGGAAGGAAGGAAGGAAGGAAGGAAGGAAGGAAGGAAGGAAGGAAGGAAGGAAGGAAGGAAGGAAGGAAGGAAGGAAGGAAGGAAGGGAGGGAGGGAGGGAGGACAGAAAAGAAAGAAAGAAAGAGAAGCTCACTCACTTCTTTATAGAGTGTCTGGATAATTCCTTGGCTAATGTCCATGAAACCATTACATCACTATGGATTAAACTTCTTACCTATAATCCCACTGTCCTTGCTTTCCAGTGTGGAACTAGGGCTGCTAATGGTCCCACAGGGACTTTTGGTGGCTGCCGTCTTGCTGACACAGCTATTCAAGGTTGAGCAGGGACTGTCAGTGCTAGGTGATGTCGTGCTGCTCGTTAGTGTAGAGCAAGGACTGATCCCTTGGCTGGGAGCTGTACACTGCAAGATAATGGAATGAATTGTTAACATCATATACCATGCTTCCTTTTTTTCCTTTTAACTCAAATTAATGAAATTTAAAAAATGAATTAATCAAAGATCATTTCCACAAAGACAAAGCTTATCTGGCAGGTAAACATATAAATGTGCAGTCTTTAAATCTTTCATATTTTAAAGGCTAAACCTTTTTTTCTCTGTTGTTTTCTTTTTGTTGCTTTTTCATACTGCCTTAAAAGGAAGAGGTTTGGAAGGAGTCTCGTGGAAATTCAATATTTGTGAATAAAACCACCAGAAAGATTTGCTTTTGTTTAGACATTTTACAGAAGGCAGAATAGCTGTTTGACCTCTGTAATGAAATTCTGGGAACTCTGTTTTTGGGGATTTTTATGTTTTGGTTTTTTTTTAATGTTTCACTAACACTGCAACCTGCATTCCATCCTTCAAGATTTATGGGGTCCAGGATCAAGGTAAGGAGAGATTGGTGGCTACTCCATGATCTCAATCAACACATGACATCTTTGTAGAGAGCGAGCTGGTGCATCAAACTCATTTCTATTCACCAGCACACATCATGAAACAAACTGCATGCACTGCATTTCTGGGGAGGTAGGAGTACTAGCTCGTTAGAGAAGCCATTTGACCTAATCATATGTTGTTTCTGCTCCATCTCACATAAATCACCCCATCTATCCTCAAAAAAATAAAAATCTCATAGATTTAAAAAAAAAAAGGATACGAAGAACAGCAACACTGCCATGAGATCAAAAAGAACATATGCTGAAGCTGACAGCATCAGGGACTTTAAGTTATCTTGCCTTAAATATTTGCAGCCACCATCTAATGATGGCGGGCAGAAGGTTAATTCATAAATTAATTCTTGGATTCTGCCTCTGTCCACCTCTCTCCAACCCACCTCACTGCACAAATTTCACTGCCTAAAGCAACCAACTGTTGAAATATATTTCAACACATAAAAATCTCTGAATTAATTCTCTAAACACACTATCCCCATAGAAGGACAAGGAGAACAGGGGTTATTGCTTTATTCATCTTCTGAACAAGCATAAAGAGGATTCTCTTCCACAGAAATTATTACCATGGCTTCATTTTTTTCTTCAAGGGCTATGTGTGCAGTACTTGGGATCCCTTCTCCCAGCAAAAATCCCAGCCTCGTCAACAGTTCCTGAGCTGCAGGCGAACAGCTCGATTCATTGTCTGGCTTTGCTTCTGTAACAAAGAAAGGAAAATGATGAGGCTGCCCCTCTGTCAAGGGAATTGGGTACCACATCTGGATGCCATACAGGCATTAACAACAGCATCCAGTCCTTGTATCTTTGTGTGTCTTTACAAAAAAGAGCATAGTTTAACAAGGCAGTCCGTCCTTGAGGTAGCAATACATTCTAATTAATAGGCAGCAACTCCAAATGCAGACTTTTACATTAAATATCCAAACCGGAGAGATATAATTTTCCCAAATTCTGCAGGTCATTCTAGTAGAAGCAAAACTGGAACATATTTACTGAAGTAGTATCAGATATAAGACACAGGAGTAGTCCCTGAGGCATGAGGAAAGTCATGGTACTGAGGTAAAACTGCTATTCACAGTACAATTAAATAAAGGGATATGGTCACGACATTAATATGAAAACACACTTGGTATTGCAAGAGGTGGTACAATAGGTAGGCTGCTAAGACCTGAGTTCAAATACTGATTCAAACACTTATTGGCTGTGTAACCCTGGGCAAGTCACTTGCTTCTTTGAACCTCAGTTTCCTCATCTGTAAAACAGGGAACAAAAACAGCACCTACCTCACAGGGTAGTTTTAAGGCCAGATAACATAATATGTAAAGGGTTTTGCAAACCTTAAAAGACCATATAAATGGTAGTCATTACTGTTGTTGTTATTATTGTTACAGGTGTTTGTACTATAAAATAACAGCATTACCAAATAAGAATGACCTTGAGATAATGGATTCTTTCTGAGTAACAGGGAAATCTGCCCTAAAAAAACCAGAAGCAACAAGAAAAAATAACTTTTCACACCAAAAGGACCAGGTATATCAAATGACACAAAAACAATTATAACTTTACTTAGAAATAAAAATTTTCATCTTAATATCTCTATTTTCTTTGCCTTATGGATAAAAAAATGCACTACATCAATCGATGAGACTTGAAGGCCCTTTGAGGAATTAAATTAAATTCTGATCCTTCTAGTTTTAACTGTTACGTTAAAAAATCATACTGGAATTCGCTGAGCAGTACAAAATAATGATCAGAGCATATTTTATAAGAGGTTGTAAGGATACGTTTCAAAACCATCCTTTTTCTTCAAGTCCTCCCTAAAGATCTGTCACTTGGTTTTCTCCTCAAAGTGAATTTTAGCTATGGAATTTAATTTAAACATCAGATATGTAAATTATCCTTACAGCCAAAATCCTAACATAAATATGGCTAACCTCATCGAAATGACATTCACCCCACAATACCTCTCACATACACTAAATCAACATCTTCCAAGGAATGAGGTATTGTACTAGATAAAATGTTTAGTAAAAAATAAAAGAGTAAGCAACATGCAAATACTGAATAGGTTATCCATTTCAATTTCTGTTATTCCCACTCCTCCTGCCCCCCCATCTGGATAACGTGCTCTTTTTGTAGCCCATAAATCTAAATGACTACAATTGTTGGGTAGGGGGAAGACTGGGCAGGGGCGAGGAACCTGCAGCCTTGAGGCCACATGTGGCCCTCTAGATCCTGAAGTGTGGTTCTTTGACTGAATCCAAACTTCACAGAACAGATCCCCTTAATAAAAGGATTTGTTCTGTAAAACTTGGGCTCAGTCAAAAGGCCACACCCAAGGACCCAGAGGACCACATGTGTCCTTGGAGGCCACAGGTTCCCAACCCCTGGTGACAGAGAGTTGAGGACACAATGAAAAACAGGAAAACCAAATAGTTATTGAGAAACCAGAAGCTATAATCCTCTAAATAATAATTCTCATTTATATATCACTTGAAGGTCTGTCAAAGCACTATCCTTGCAACGAGCTTGTGAAGAAGGAAAGAGAAGCATTCTTCTCTTCCATTTTATAGGTGAAGAAATGGTAAAAGCTTTGAGAGGTTTGGTGACTTGCCCATGGTCATACATCAATGATATGTCAGAGGGGAGATTCAAACACAGGTCTCTCAGCTCCAACTTCAATATATCATGCTGCCTCTCTCATTTGAGGCCAGGACCAACAAATGTAGGCCATGCAACAGAGCACAATTAGCCTCAGAAATGGTGGCCTGGCAGCTGTACAGAGTTAACCTGGAAGTTGGTGTCTAGCCCCAGGGATAGATTAGAGTGAAGAGAGAAAGAATCCAGGCAAGGAGACCCACCAGCAGGCTATTACAAGACTCTAGGTGTAAAGTGATGAGGGCCTGCCCCAGGATGGGCATATGGGAGAAATATCAGGAAGGTAAAATCAACACCTTGGAAATACATTGGATGTAGATTTGAGAGACAGCAAGGTGTCAAGGACAACACCTAAGTTAGGAGCCTTGGTGACTGAGAGAATGAAGGTACTCTCAACAATAACAGGGAAGTTAAGAAGAGGGAAAAGTTTAGGAGGAAAGATAAGGTCCGTTCTGGACAGGTGGATTTTAAAATGTCTACTGTATACCTCGTTTAAGGTGGAAATGAAAGACTAGAGATCAGGACAAGTAGACTGGAGAGTCATCTGCCTAGAGATGTTCACTGAAACCAGAGAAACTAATAAGATCACCAAGTAAAATAATATAGAGGAAGAACAGAACCTTGAGGAATGCCCATTGTTATCAGGCAGGACCTGGATAAAGAAGACAGAGGAGAGTCAGTTAAGTAGGAGGAAAACCAGGAAAGAGCAGTTTCATGAATATATTAACAGCGTCAAATGTGGGGCAGCTAGGTGGCGCAGTGGATAGAGCACCGGCCCTGAAGTCAAGAGGACCTGAGTTCAAATCCAGCCTCAGACCAAACACCTGACACTTACTAGCTGTGTGACCCTGGGCAGGTCACTTAACCTCAATTGCCTTTAAAAAAAAAAAAGACAGTGTCAAATGCAAATGGGTCAAGAAGAATGAGGCTTAAGAAAAGGCCATTAGGTTTGGCAGTTAAAGAGATCATGAGTAGCCCTGAAGAGAGCAGTTTTGGTTGAATGAGTTAGAAAGCCAAACCGTAAAGACTTATGAAGAGAATGACAGGAAAGGAAGTAGAGGGACCTGTTGTAGTTGTTGAGTACACAGGATGATAGTTAGTGGGGATGGACTGATCAAGATTGAGTTTTTTGATAATGGTGGAGATATGGGCATGTTTGTAGGCAAAAGGAAAGCAGCCAGTTAATGGGGAGCAACTGAGCATTAGTGAGAGACTAGGGATAACAGAGGGGGCAATTTGTCGGAGAAAACAAAATGGAACTGGATCATCTGTGTATGTGGAGGGGGTTTGCCTCAGCAAGGAAAAAGGCCACTAATCTACATTCAGATTTTATGTGAACGTATGTGAAAGAAGGAGGAAAAGCATTCCAAATCAGCATCAGTCCAGGCACACCTAAGAGAAAATGACCTGAGAAGAGGATCAGTACCACCTCCTCCTCCTACCTACCCACTTTTCCCAAGCCATCACTCCAAGCCTCAACACAGCTAAGAAGGGCATCCATTTTATCTGTCTCAAACAATAGGCCAGGACCAATATGCACTTCCCGGATACAGTATAAAAGAAGAGGATGCAGAGGTGGGGCTTGGAAATAGGAGGGTGAGATGAAAGGGATGAATAGCTTCATTGCTTCCCCCTTCCTTAGGCTTCTCCCCATATGACAATCATCCATTGATTGCACTGTTATCTGGTCACCACCCATGTACCAGAATTATCCATTTCTGGTACAACCTCAATTATACAGGAATTTTGCCAGATAATATTCTAGTTCAGCAACTGCTGGGTGAAAGTGAAGGAGGAGAGGAGCAGCTAGGTGACGCAGTAGATAGAGCACCGGCCCAGGAGTACCTGAGTTCAAATCCGACCTCAGACACATAACATTCACTAGCTGTGTGACTCTGGGCAAGTCACTTAACCCCAATTGCCTCCTTAAAAAAAAAAAGTGAAGGAAGAGAGACAACAACTTTGGGAACTCTAGCATCACCAAATCTGCCTGGACGAACAATACTGCCATCTCTGCCACAAGTAAGGTTTTCAAAGAGCCCTCAAGTTCCAAACCACACATACAAACATAGGACTCTGGGTCTCCATTGTTTCAATACATCTATATTTCTAGGGAAGAATGCCTATTCAGCTAAGGAGTACAGCCAAGAGCAAGCTAGGGGCAGGAAGTCCAAAACTCTTTGTAAATCAAAAGTCAAACCATCATCCAAACCCCCGCCCCTTTTTTCCAGAAATATGGAAAACACATGCAACACTAAATGTACATGGGGAAAATGAAAATAGGCACATAAATTAACAGTTCTTAACTAAGGGTCCGCACAACAGCACAAAACTATCAGAAACGTACTAGTGTACTGGACTACAATGTCACAGATCTTTCAACGTCCACATCCATTTTCCCTCTCTCCTTTCAAAGCTTTATTCCTTCAAGATTCCCATCCTTCCTATTCTGTCCCATCCATTCACATGCCACCCTAGCTCCATTTCCCTTGGAAGGTCTCCCAGGCTCTTTCCATCATCCTGTCCTTCTGTATTCCATGTTTTAGGTCAACCCACTTATCCACTCAATGTGTCGCTAACTCACAGTCTCTTTCTCTGATTCTGATCTTCCATTTCAGTTTTAGGAGCTCTTTGGTGAAGGGTAACAGACTCACCAACAACGAACTCTTGTAACAAACTGAAAATGCCAAAAAAGAGTCAAAAAGCTGAAAACTTAAGTTTTTTATTTTTAATTTTTAAAAAATAAAATCCTACCAGAAAATTCTGGATTACTCTTTTTATATCTGTAGCTAATGCCAAAACACTGTAGAACCTGCTTTACTAATTAATGTCTGTGCCAGTTTGTTTTTTTTAAGTCATGCCCCATTTATTACACAACAAACAACAATTTGCATCTGCTACAAACAGAAAATACTCAACGTCTTAACCAGATGTGTAAACTTTGAAAAGGTTCACCTTCAGTAGCATGTGCTGAAAGGTATGAGAAGAATAGATCTCAAACCCTGCCCCTTTTCCAATATTCCACAGAGAGTACAGGTAATA